TTTTCCTACCTTTTATTTATTTTACTTGACTTATTGCATTAGCTAGCATCAGGCATGACTTTTGATCTATTTTTCAGAGAGAAAAATCTTTCATGGAGTTCCCTAGTAAAAAATAAAAAGCAATTTATGAAGTTAAGTTGGTTGATTTGTGAACATCATATCCAAATTTAAAATGGTATTATGATGGCCTACAAAGCCACCATCCACTGTTTCTTATTGTGCATACCCACGGATGTGGATTGGAAATCTTGTCAACCAGCCACCCTTGTCTTTCCTACCCCAGACAGGCAGAGCATCTCATTTATATTTGTGCATGGGTCCTTAACAGAGTCTCATAGTCAAATAAAGGTCCAGACCACTCACTGAAAATGTTCTTGCCTCAGAGGTGGAATTAAGAGAGTATTGTCAAGAAGCAATTTCAGGAGGGCAGAGCTTGTGGAGAGATGGTATCCAAGGCAATGGTGCCCTGTCTGGCAAGTCATTGGCTGGCTGCAGAAGATACCAAGTCTTCCAAAGTGCCTGCAGTTGTCTAAAAGAGCAGACGATTTTGGTCAGCTAGCATATGGAAGGAAGAATGATATCTTTTAGATGGAACACTAGAACTGGAGGCAAGGACTGTAAGAAGTAAAAGCTGCTGGAGTCGAGATGTCAGCTGCCAGTAGGAGGGAGGGAGGGAGGGATCCTGGGCCTAGAGATAGGAGAAAGGGTAAGTCCTTGTATGAATTCAGGTGTATCAGGTGTACCTCCAGCTGGAGAGTGCAGATTTAGAAAACATGAGGATACAGACCCTGAGAGCTGGCAAAATGCATTCTTCCTCTCTCCTCTTTGGTGTTGTCTTCCTTTTCCATCTCTTTCTCTATTTCCTTTAATCCCTTTATGATGTAATCTTTATCTGTCAGATTTCATCTGGGAGGCAATGTGACGGAATGACTAAGAACTATTTAGGTGGAAATCCTGACCACTTACAGCTATGCAACCAGAACAGATTACTTACCTTTATTAAGCCGTGGTTTTCTCATCTATAAAATGGAGACAGTGGAAGTAACTTTTTTATTGGTTGGGAAGATCAAATAAAATAATGTGTGTAAGAGGAACTTGGCACAAAGTAGATGCTAAAGGGCCCGTCTGGCTGCCTCTCTCTTGGTCTGTCTACCTTGTTCTTTTCCAGAGGTATTAGTTCTTATGCATGTTTCCCTTGTACTAAGTGTAATGTGTTTTTCTTGTTTTAGTTGAAAAAAAAGCTTTATGTCCTCTATTTTTAATGTACAAATTGGGTGAGCGAAATATCTCCCATTTCTGTCCCTATAGTAGATTACCGAAATGACAATGGGGAATGATTTCCTCCTCTCCCTTCTAATGGCAGCAGCTCCAAGACTTTGAGCAATTCCTTTAACTTCTTTGGGTCCAGGGTCCTTATCTATATATGTAAGGGACTAGATTAAGTGGACTGTGAGGCTCTCGTCTACCTCTAATTATATCTATGAGAAGATGCTAAAAGTCAGATGCCTCACTAAATTATACATGCCATGAAGAAACGTGTCTGTTTTGCTTATCATCATATCCCAAGCTTCCAGGATGCCTGGCCCATAGAAGATGCTCAGCAAATGAATGGTTGACATCTTTACAACAAGGAATGTGGTTCATATTCACCAGGAGTTGTCAGAGCACCATTGGCTTTATGGGCCCATCTTTAATAACTCTGAGGAAAATTTTAATGGTAGAAAATGCCAACTCACATAGTCAACTTTTTTGGCATTTATTTTCAAACTTATGAATTCAAACTTCATAAATATTTTAGAGATCATGATCCTTTCTCAATTTCAATTTGTTGCCATGCTTTCTAGCCCTAGGTCTTGTCATCATTCAGTATGTCGCCTGTGTGACGGTAAAGACTATTTTTGAAAGCACAGTGTATAACTACACGATATCATAGCACCATCTGCAAGGTGCTATGCCATTTTCTTTATTTTTCAAGGCAGCATCACAAAGCTCATTTACCAAAGGAAGGAACAGACTAAAGGCAAAGAGCATTCCTTGGGCTTCTTCACTCCTGCTTTAAATATACATCACTATCTCTGACTAACGAGTACCATAATCAGAATCCTTTATACATCCTCTGGCTCAGTTCCTTTGGAGAGCTGAGCCTTCTTTCTTACTGCTTGCAGGGCCCCTAATGGCTTTCCTATCAGTGGTCTGTGAAACTTCCAATTCTCCTTCCTGCTGTGTTCCACTCTCTTCTTTCTCCTTTAAATGGTAGACTCCTGGGGAAGAAATATTCATGACTATCATTGTGTCTAGCTTTGTAGGCTAGATGTGGTTAAGAATTAATTGGAAATTTAATCCATTCAGTCACTCATTGTCTTAGTCCATTCAGGCTGCTATAAGAAAATAGCATAGACTGGGTAGCTTATAAAAAAACAAGTTTACTTCTCACAGTTTTAGAGCTGGAAGTCTGAGATCAGGGTGCCTGCATGGTTGGGTGAGGGCTCTCTTCAGAGTCTAGAAAGTTGGCATCCTCACATGGCTCTGCCCTCATTACCCAATTATCTCCCAAAGTTCCCTCACCTTTTAATACCATCACATTGGACATTAGGATTTCAACATATGAATTTGAGAGGGACACACGCATTCAGACCATAGCACTCACCAGATATTACCTGAATTATTCCTTTGTGTAGAGAACATAGGATCCCAGGTATAAGACAATTTGGGGGTCATAGAAGGTTTATAATTTAGAGCCAAAATGGTGTCGTCCACACTAGAAGTACTGTGTAGATTTAAAGAAATCAAGACTTGGAATTGCCTGGCAGTTCATATTCTCTTGCAAAGTAGATATACACTGTTCCTGAAGCCATTATGAATTTTTTTCTTTTCGGGCAGCTTTGGTTTACCCTCTGGTATTAGTCTTATCAGCAGAACTGATAATATTTATAATAATATCATGAAAATGTCAAGACATTTCTAAAACCTGAAATGAGAAAATTGAATAGTACCATAATCATTTACTTTCTAAACTTAGGTAAAACAGGGATTATAAATTTATGTAAACAGGGATTATTTTCTTTAGATAAAGTAAGAAAAGGAGACACAGAACCTTTGTTTACATTGGGACATCATCACTTTTCCTCATTGTTTTGCCAACACTTTTACGGCAGAAGACGAGTAGGAGAAGAGGCCATGACAAAGGGGCAGTGCTGCCTTGGAGAAATGGTTTCTGTGTCCAGTTGTCTGACTCTCCCTTCTCGTTTACTAACAAGATGCTAACAATAACAAGCCTAGCCATTTTCTGTGTCTGAATGTCTGAAAACATTGGATAGCAATTGAGAGTTGGCTGCCATGATGTCACCATCAAAAAATCATGGGAGACTCTAATGGCTTCTAAATATAATCTGCCAGTTCTGAACTTATTTCATGCACTCAGGAATAGCAGTTGGCATTATGTAGGGAAGAAATTATGAAAACCTGTCCTCTCCAGTCAGTCACTGGCAGGACTTTGCTTTATAAACTTGTCATCAGTAATAGACTTACCTGTCTCATTTGTTCACTTCTGAGACCAGAATTCATGGTTGGAGGAGACACTGAAAAACCAGTTGGCCTGAAGATTGTTCAGTCTTATCAGTCAGAAAAGGGATGATTGTTGAGTTATAAGTCCACCTCCTTTAATCACAAAGAATTTGCCAATCTCCTGAAAATATTTTAGGAGTAAACACTAAGTCAAACAAAATTTTCTTGCAAAGGCACTGACTGTGGTTAGCTATTTAATGAGACCTTTGATACACTGGAAAGTGGCTAACACAAATGCTTAACTCATTTGCGCTTCCCCCACCCTCCAGGATAGCTGGACAGAGTAGCAGTTCTGACTATAACAAGAAGAAAACAGCCCTCATAGTGCAGCATCTTTAAGGCTTGTCCTACTTTGGGTAAAATGCTCCCTCTAAAATGAGTAGCGCCTAGATAAGACCGAAAAGGCAAACCTGGTTTGCTTTAGTTCAGTTTGGTTTGGTTACTACATGTAAGTCACCTTGACTTGAAAACTTGTTGCTTTGACTTCTCAAAATCACATATGGAATATGCAGTTGACTTCCAAATGGAAAGCAACAGCTCTGTGCACCATTTCATTCATTGAGGAAAAGTAATTGGCACCATCCATGAAAGGATGAGTTATAAAAACCTGCCCTTCCTGGGGGGGTCACTGGGAAAAAAAACACACATAAGGGCAAAGGTTTCCAGGACATTTCCTGTAACACAGTTAGCCTTTCCTAGGTTGTGGTCTGGTCCTTTGTTGTACTCTTTTGCTTTTAAAAATGTTTGAAATGTCCCTAAAGTTGAATTGTCTCCTATTCAGACCTGATATTTAGAGTTGCTTGTGGAGGGACTTTTAAAAAGTCATGTATTTAATTTATAAGTATGCCTCCAAATATGAAATGTATTTGCCAGAGGAATTTCAAGGCTTTGATGAGTTAATGTGTAATGTCTACCAATATGTTTTTGGCTGTTTTGTCCTTCCTTTTGGATACAAAATTCTTCATGGCTGCAATTCTTGGTTTTCTATCACACCTGCTCTGGGGAGGAAGGGGGAGCATCACCTGCAGAATGTTTAAGTGTTTCAGAGCTTCTGGGAAGCAGACCCAACACCAAAGAATTTGGAAAAGACATGTGGCCCTGGCTGGGTGGCTCAGCTGGTTGCAGGTTCCCCATCAGGGCACACACCTAGGTTGTGGGTTCAATCCCCAGTCTGGAGGCAACCGATTGATGTTTCCCTCTCTCTCTCTCTCTCAAAATCAGAGGATTAAAAAAATAATATTTTTTTTAAAGAGTCATATAATGACACTTTAAAAGAACTTTTCAAGGGTTTTAGATGGAAGACTATATTTAAGCACTTGGCTTTCTCTGGCATGTGACTTGACACGATTTCCAAGAACAATCAGCTCATTTCAGGGTTTGCAGAAGGAAGCACTGTGCTCCCTGTTAATCGGCTGTCCTCCCTCTTCTCATTTCAGTGGTGCTTCATGCCCCACCTCCAACCAAGATCAAACGGGAGCTGCACAGCCCCTCCTCCGAGCTGTCATCCTGCAGCCATGAGCAGGCTCTCGGTGCTAACTATGGAGAAAAGTGCCTCTACAACTATTGGTAAGTGGAGCCAGAGAAGGCTGGCCAGAAAGTAACCTTCAAGCTGACTGTTTCAAATATTACTCAGCAGACACTCAGGATAGCACACCCCATCTTTACCTGCAGTGTAATCCCCTAGGTGCAGGCCAGCTCAAATGGGCCTTTCTTCGTGCTGAACATGAAATGCAAAACTGTTCAACTGACTGGGATGGTGGGAGGACTCAGTGCTTGGGGTACTGAACTCCCCTCCCCCCTCAAGGGAAAAATCCTTGAATACTGGGATATTTGATCTGTGACTTCGAGGGAGGGAATGTATACTCCTTCGTGTCTATCATATGTTAATGTGAACTTTAAGCACCAAAGAAGTAATCTTCAAATCAGAATATATGAAAAGGCCTTGATGCTTATGCCCTTTACTTAAGAATATCCAGGCTCAGGAATGAAGCTTTAATTTTAAATCATGCTTTGCTCTAGAAGATAAACATAGATCTACTTAAGAGGGGGGAGGAGAAGAGTTGTTAATTCAAGTGATGTTACAGCAGAAATTTGTCTTCAACAAAGATTCTGACTAATTTCTGGGAACCCTGAAATACTTGGGAGAGGGTCTGGGAAACTTCTCCAGACACATAAATTCTGCCCCCATCTGTCTACCTGACACACACATACATGGAGAACACGTTTGGAAGGGGGGAGAAAGGAAACTGGAAGCAGAGGCTAAAATTATCTTTGAGAAGAATCACTAGAAGTGTTAAATAGTCCCTGTGACGCAGTGTGTTTGTCACTTCTCAGAGGTACAAATATTCCCTCAGGGCTGCCAGCAATTTAACTATGTTAATGCTGTCATTTCCTGGCAACCGAGGGCTGCAGCATTCTGCTGGACCTGGTGACCAAGCTAATGGCTTCATTGCAGCTTACTGGTTCCTTCTCTTTTTCTGTTTGCAGTGCCTATGATAGGAAGCCTCCCTCTGGGTTCAAGCCATTAACCCCTCCTACCACCCCCCTGTCACCCACCCATCAGAATTCCGTATTTCCCCCACCTCAGGCAACTCTGCCCACCTCCGTGCACCCTGCTGCAGCAGGCCCAGTACAAGGTGTGGGCCCAGCCCCCACCCCTCATTCGCTTCCAGACCCTGGACCACAGCAGCAAACCTTTGCGGTCCCCCGGCCACCACATCAGCCCCTGCAGATGCCAAAGATGATGCCTGAAAACCAGTATCCATCAGAACAGAGGTGGGTGCTGATCCGGGCTTCCTTTGCTGCCTGCATTCCCCTCCCCTTTTCCTCACTGGGAGAGGGGGAGCCATTAGTCATATTTACCAGGTGTCTATAAAGTTCTCATTCCACTGCGGCATCTTGTGAGGTAAGACTAATAATAACATGAATACGACCTGTTTACATGTCACCCTGTTCCTGAGGTATTCCAAGTGGTTTATAAACATTACAACGTCCTTTTGAAGCATGAATGGGGAGATAATTAGTACTGTCCCCCATTACAGAGCCCAGGGAAGAGTGACTTTCCCAGGACACATTATCCATTGACCCTCACTCAGGGCCGCTCTCCTGGCTGCTCACTGGATACTAGAATTGAACCTTGATTTATGCTACCCATACATCCTTTATTAACACTTACCTATTGGGGAAGCTTGCTGGTAAGAGGTATTATTACTCATCTGATTTTCACAGATTTTAGCAGTAGGAGATTAACTAAAGACTTTATTTATAATTATCTACTTTTGCCAGCACCGGATTGGCTCAGTGGATAGAGCATCGGCCTGCGGACTGAAGGGTCCCGGGTTTGATTCCGGTCAGGGGCATGTACCTTGGTTGCGGGCACGTCCCCAGTGGGGAGTGTGCAGGAGACAGCTGATCGATGTTTCTAACTTTCTATTCCTCTCCCTTCCTCTCTGTAAAAAATCAATAAAATATATTAAATATATATATATAATTACCTACTTTTGAGATAGAAACCTCCTGGTTTCACTCCAGGTAGTTCTACATTTCAAATAAGGAAACAAAGGCACCAGGAGGAACGTGCCCAAAGTCATGTATTCATCAAACCAATGGGTGTGAAGGGAACCTGCTCTGAAAGCATGAAACAGGTCCCGGCCTTCCCAGCCTGTTATCTGCCATGTTCTAGAATTTTGGATGCTTATGGCCTTCCTTTATGTAGGGTGTCTTGGGGGTCTCGGTTTCTCACTTCAAGTCTCTCTGGGATAAGGAGATAATGTAGGCGGCAAGTTGTCAGTGATGTTACCAAGGGCTGCAAGATGGTGGCCATTGCATTTCCTTTCTGTCTGTCTTGCTCTGCACTGGGTGGGTGTGAGGGCGGGAGGCAGGAGAGGAGGGAGGATGTATGAGTACACCTCCCCCAGGCCTGGCCCAACCCAAATGCCTCCCCGTGTTTACTCAGAGGTCACTTTATTTCTAAATGAAATGCAGAAAAACATTAGCCCTCTTTTCTGGTTCTAATCCCCTGACCCTCTTGCTGTGAAACTCACCATAAAGAACTACCTCATTTGGCTGGTAGTGTTTATTCCCCTGGTGAGGCCAAATGCCACAAACACCAGTGATACATGGGGCCCAAGGGGTGAGCACTGATTGGAGGCTGGCTCAGTAGTGGGCCTCCATTTACACAGAACTCATCTAAAGGAAGCAGCCACCACTAAGCTTTGCCAGTTATTACCTTGTTAACAGCCTTGCACTCTTCCAGGAGAATTCGGAAATTTGGATTTTTATGTAAAAATTCCGGATTGCCTTTTTTAAAGTTGGCAACTAATTCAAATTAAAAACAACAGCAACACTTTGCAGACTAAACAAAACCTCTCTGTGGGCAAAATTACCCTGCAAGCCTGCCAGTTTGTGAACTCGGGCCTGGATACCATTTTTATGCCAATAGTTTTTTTGTGTGTGTTTTTAAATAGCATCCTCCTGATTCTCTGCAGAGATTATTAATTGAGGGGAAGGGATGGCGTAGGGCCTATATTCAGTATTTTAAATACTTAGTAAACTTTGTATTTGTCATACCATGTATAAAAGAAAATCTCTTGTATTTATGCAGTTGTGCACTGCTTAACAACAGATACCTTCTGAGAAATTCATTGTTAGGCGATTTTGTCATGTGCAAACATCATAGAGTGAGTGCAATTACACAAACCTAGATGGTAGCCTACTACACACCTACGCTGTATGGTATAGCCTATTGTACCTGGCTACAAACCTGTACTGCATGTTACTGAATACCGTAGGCAATCATAGAACAATGGTATTTGTGTATATAAACATCTAAACATAGGAAAGGTATAGAAAAAAAATGTACTAGTATATAAGATAAATAATGGTACGCCTGTCTGGGTACCTACCATGATTGGAGGACTAGGAGTTGCTCTGGGTGAGTCAATGAGTGAACGGTGAGTGAATGTGAAGGCCTGGGACATGACTGTGCACTACTGTAGACTCTATAAACACTGTGCACTTAGGCTCCACTCAATTTATAAAACAACACGAGATTAAATCAAGCACAAGAGAAATGATGTAATCAAGCAGCAGGGTAAACACGAGACGTGTGAAGCTGCTGCTGGCGTAACACAGCATACTATTTTTGTGCACTCTAAAATGAGGATCAAAAGTATAGTAAAACATAAGCCAGTAGCATAGTCACTTATTGTTATCAAATCAAATGCACTGCACCTAATTGTATGCTCTATACTTCAATATGATTTGCAGCGCAGTAGGTTTGTTTACACCAGCATCACACACAGACACGTGAGTAACAACGTGTTACACTGTGATGATACAGTGGCTATGACATCTCCGTATTTCTCTCTCAGTCTCTATTTCTTACCAGATTGTGTCAAAGGTTAACTGAACCAGGGAAAGAAAAGCCCTAATTCTGCTGGAAGTTATTTGTCCTCAGGCAGGCCTGGCAGAGAGGGGGCCTTAGTCTCCAGGCTGCCCAGCCTCCTCCCAAAACGAAGAAATTTGATCCCTGATAGTTAAAAGTTTCTGACCTCAAGTGTCCAAAAAGAAAGAGGTAGGAACCAGAAAGTAAGCATTTCTTTTATGGGGTGATTCCTCCCTGAAATTCATCTGTTCGTGTTGGACTTACTTCCCCTTCCCCTCTGCCATTAGGAATGATGAGTCTAAAATAAAAAGACCTCACATCCCCTGGGTGATACAAAGATCCTTGAGAGAAATGGGGTGAAGGGTGAAGTTCCTAATCGATAAATAAAAAACACTGGGGCACTTAAGCATTATACACCAGAGCTCTGTAGTCTCAAAGTTGAGGGTACACAGGAGTTCCCACGGGGGCTTATTAGAAGCAGATTCCTG